GGGTGTGCGTGGCAGCCACGGGTAACTCCCAGCTGGTCAAGGGGAAGCACAGGGAAGGCTGAGCCTACCAGAAGAACGGAGAGGTGACTGCTCTCCTCATGGATTTTCAGGAAGGACCATTGGATTTGGAACTTCTGTGCTTTTTAAAAAAATATTTTATTTATTTTTTAGAGAGAAGGGAAGGGAAAGAGAAAGAGTGGGAGAGAAACATCAATGTGTAGTTGCCTCTCATGTGTTCCCTATTGGGGACCTGGCCCGAAACCCAGGCATGTGCCCCAACCAGGAATTGAACCAGCGACCCTCTGCTTCACAGGCCTGTGCTCGATCCACTGAGCTACACCAGCCAGGGCTGGATTTGGAACTTTTGAATGAAGCAATGATACTTTCTCTTTTCATACCCCCATCCCATACCCAGCATTAACTAGATTGCCACTGATAAAAATGCAGCATTATTTAAAATCATTTGCTATATAGGTAAGACTACACAGGCAACTGGGGGTGAACTGGTGCTTAGGCAGGAAGCACTCAGTGTCTTGCAGAACTCAGTTTTGTTCAGCTGTATTTGTTGGCTCCATGTGCCCGGCAGTGTTAGACTCTGTGGTGAACTTACGGGGCATCTGGGAGGTCTCTGCACTTTTCCCTGAGATGCGTGCTAGAAAGTGGAGTGGACAGAACCCTCGGGGTTCCTGATCACAGCGACCCGGTACCAGTCATGGCTGTGACCACAGGAACTCATTCAACTGAGCTACCTCTAAGATGATCAGAACTGATCTTGGACATAGTAGATGACTGATAAATAATTCTTGAATAATTGATTAAATAACATTTTAAATAGGAAAATCTTGCTTAGGCCCATAAAAGGGTTATTTGTACAGGGCCTCACACAAATAACACCCTCTTTTTATTATAAAATCATAAGCATACAGTTCCGTTAAGTAGTATCACACTCAAGCATACCATATGACATTGTAGGTGAAATGTTCAAATTAAAACTATAAATTATTACCCCCATATCATTAACCTACCAACCACACCCAAGCAGGCATTACTTCTGCTAGACCTTGTATACTGCATACATGACCACACACACACGTGCATGTATATGGACACACAATGTTATGGGCTGAACTGTGTGTCCTCACAACTCATATGTTGAAGTTCAGACCTCTACTACCTCAGAATGTGACTATTCGGAGAGAGGGTCTTTAAAAAGGTCATTAAGTTAAACTGAGGTCCTAGGGTGGGCCCTAATCCGACGTGGCTGGGGTCCTTGTGACAGGCAGTTTGGACCCAGTCACAGAGGAATGACCACGGGCAGCACAGGGAGAAGATGGCCCAACCCGTGCCCGGCAGAGAGGCCTTGAAGGAACCGGCCCTGCCCACGCCTCAGTCTCAGACTCCTCCCCTCCAGGTAGTTAGAGAATAAATGTCTGTTGTTTTAGCTTCCCCTCCCGCGTCTGTGGCACTTTGTTATGGCAGCCCTAGAAAACCAAGACGTGTGAGCACGGTAAGATGCTCATACAGAACCAAAATGGATTCCGCAGCATGAAAACTGACCTAAGACTAATAATCCAGGCACAGCATGAGTGTTTTCATCATTTAAACAGCACTCGTTCATGGTGTTTTTGCAGCTAGGAGGTTTTATTTTCACTTGTTTGAAATATCTTTCATAGGTTAGGTCTCTTTTGCAAAAGCTTTGGAAACAATGCCTTTTCTACTCTCAGTGCACTTCCTTGTAATGAGAAGCAGTCCTGCCCGTCCCACAAATAATAGTGGTGGCAGCTATATGTTTGCGACCCCTTTAGAGATGTGAGCCTCTGAAAAGGAGGGACTCTTAGATATGCTCTTCTGTTAATCTTGGCTTTCCTCTCTGAACAACTTCAAGGACATCTTGGAAAGAGAAAAAATTGCCATTAGTAGCCAGTGGGGGCGTTTTGGGGTTGGGAGAAGGGCAGACAGGGGTGTATTTGTGGGTTCATAGTAACCATTTCTGCCACTTCCAGCTGAGGGTGTAAAAAACCTCAGAAAGTAAAGCAGGTTTTCATCAAGGTTTGGTGAATGCCCTAATCCAGAAAGAACTTAAATGGTGCAGAAGTTCGTATATTATCTCATGATAAAATAAATGCAAGTAAGTTATAAAAATCAGATAAGCAATCAGGTTTGCAAGGTGAGATGGATCTAGGGGTGAGCTTAGTAGCAAAGAAGCATGCCATAAAGTTCCTGACTTCTGCTCCTGGTGGGCTGCTGATTCAGTTTTAGGAGGTTTCAGCTTTCAGGCCACTCAGTCCAAGAAAGGCATTTCATTAGCAACCTCATTCACAGTGTCCCTGAAGCAAGCACAGACCGAGTGCCCAAGGAAAGCACAACCACTCCCAACACCGAGGACAGAGAAAATTAGCCTCCGGTTAAATCCTCAGGTTAGATTGTTTCTGATAATCCTTATCTATTCCCGGTGAACTGAAGTGTTAATGCTGAACTTCATTTCACCAAAAGCAATTTTATGGAGTTGGCAGGGGAACGGTGCTAATAAAATCAACATTTAGTATCAAAATCAAAGGGAGTATATAGGGAAAGAAAAATCCATGACAATCTAGTTTTGATTTAGTTGCATATTACCAGGCACTGGGTTCACTAGGACGTTTGGGACGTGTTCTTGCTTTATGCCATATTTTGGAGTAACTGAATCAAAGAAAATTGACACTGTAAGGGACTTTAGTAACGAAGTCCTATGCTTTTTTTTTCTTAGATGAAGAAACAAAGGCTCAGCAAAGCTAGGTAATTTCAAGGTCATGATTAGTAGTAGATCTGGGGACCAGAATTGCATTTCCTGAACCTCAGCCTAATGCATTTGGACATCAAAGGATGCTTAAAAGTCTGAGTTTGAACTCGAGCTTTCAGAGGTCATTAAAACCATGGTACTTGTAAAAAGCCTTGCTTTTAGGCATTCAGCTGGGTGCAGACAGTTAAAGGCAGAATGGAGTTTCTTTTCTATTATTATATTGTACCTGTTGATACTCCAAAGATCAATTATTTTCTAACTCCCTTATTGTTCTCTTTCCAGAATTTGTTAGAAAGACCTCCTTATATATAAACACTGTCTTTGTTTTGGTGCCAGTGAAAACAGTCATGTAGATGCAAGAACATTCACTCTTGACAAGATTTGAAAAGAGCAGAGTATTCTTTTTTGCCTGGTTCATTCCTTTATGAAAGAATTCTTCCTATCACAATCTTTCTTTGGAGAACTCAAAGTGATATGTTTGCCATTATATTCTGGAGCAAGGAATTGGAAGACAAGCTTTTATCCTTTGTAGAAAAGCAATCACTTTAGAGTTTAAAAACAATTAGGCAGAGTAGGAAATATCAAATTATCTCAGATCAAGCACTCTTTTAATTGAAAACATTTCTTTTCTAAATGAACATTTGGAAAAGGATTCAGGCTATGTGCTTTTATGTGATTTGAGTGGAGGCAGAATTCCAGCGCCTAAAAAATTGCATTCAGATCTTGATTTCTTCCCAGTTGCCGCCTGCTCCGAGTTTGTTTCTCTGTGTTTCCAATCCCCAAAAGCTCTATTTAAAAAGGAGCAGTATCTTAGTTTTAGCTCTTTCTTTTCAGTTACCAAATCTGTGTCTCTATTTCCTATGGAGAGGCTGCATGGATCCCTAAGGTTACCGAAATGGTTCTCCAGCAGATGGGTGCAACCCCCACTGTGCACAGGGGATAAACCAAAGGAGGAGGAAGAGTTGTGTAGGACATAGGCTAGAACTTGGCATTCCCATAAGTCACTGGGGCCGGTTTTCATTACCCTTCTTCAGCTCAGCAAGGGCCTCATTCCAATCCCCTGCCCATCCATAAGGAACATCCTTGGGGGTCCATTGAAATGGACTAGGAGCATCTCCATCCTTGGAGCATCACTTAAGTACTAGAAAGCCTGTGTTTGGGGGATTTATATTAGAGTCTGATTTTAGTGGAAGAACAATTATACATACATATGTTGATATAAACAAGGAAAATTTTGGGTCTGTCCATTTATATCATCCTAAATGCCTACATTATGAATGTCTGAAGTATATGATCTCCTTATTCAGCTATTTTTACATCATCTCCAACTTCCTGGATTTAGTTTATATTATTTAAAACCTTTATTCATTCATTAAGAAAAAAACAGAAACAAAATCCCCCAGCAGCCCTGACCAGTGTGTCTCAGCTGGTTGGGCATCATCCTACAGAGCAAAAGGTTGTCGGTTTGGTTCCCCGTCAGGACAGATGCCTTGGTTGCGAGTTCACTCCCCAGTCAGGGTGTGTATGAGAGGCAACCAATCAATGTTTCTCTCTCACATTGATGTTTCTCTCCCTCTCTGTCTCCCTCTTTTTCCCTCTCTCTAAAATAAATAAAATCTTTAAAAAAAAAAACCCCACATGATTTGTTGAGGTTTCAGTAAGTACCAGACTGTGTGGCTTAAAAAATGATTTAGAATTTGTAAAACTTCATTTAAAATGTTATTTACAGGCAACATGGTGACTTATGCTCATGGTAACTGAAAAAGAAAGTAGATTTTATATGATGATTGCAGTATATAAAAATGTGGCAGGTCAGGTATAGAGCAAGGGGAAGTGAAGATTTTTATATAGGCTTTGAGTGCTTATAGAAGAGTGTTGTCCTTGAAAGTAATTAGAATCGATATTAAGTTGTTTTTAATAATAAAGAGCAAATACAAATTTAAATATACATACCATTCAAACAAGATAATTCTGAATAATTCAAGTTATTAGAATTTTCCCCTGGGTTTTTCGCTCCTGCATCTCCAGTGCCTAGCCTACGGTCTGAACTTGCCAATCTTTGTTGAATAAAGTAATTCAAGTCAAAACGTTGTAGATCCTTTATTAATTTGAAGCGATTGCCTCGTTGGTTGATTTGGTTTTCACAAAGGCCTCTGTGGCATTTGCCTCATAGCAGGCGACCCTGTAACTGATCATTCTGCTCTCTTTGTATTATTTACAGGGATATTTTGCACCATTTCCCTCTGCACTTACGCTGCCAGCATCTCCTATGATTTGAACCGCCTCCCAAAGCTAATTTATAGCCTTCCCCGTGATGTGGAACACGGCTACAGCTGGTCTATCTTTTGTGCCTGGTGCAGTTTGGGCTTTATTGTGGCAGCTGGAGGTCTCTGCATCGCCTATCCATTTATTAGCCGGACCAAGATTGCGCATCTAAAGTCTGGCAGGGACTCCACGGTATGACTGTCCACACTCAAGCTCACTGCTCGGTGGCCCGTCCACAGTGCGGACAACTCCTGAGGGGAACAGAGCACAGTTCGCATCAGGATCCCAAGCACAAAGCGGTCTTTTACATTCCAACCGGATGCCTGCCAGCCCTTTCTGGATGACTGATAGAAAATCATGCAAAACCTCCATACCTTTCTTAGGACAAGACTACTGTGGATTCAAGTGCTTTAATGACTATTTATGCTTTGACTGTGAGAAATGGGAGCGGTGCCATGAGACATTTCTAGGTTTAGGGAAAAAAAGAGGAAATTGCAATGGAAAACTTTGTATGGTTGCCATTTATTTCAGCAAGTTTGTGTATAACGCCTACCTGAGAGTCATTTCTAGTTGCAAAAGGATTCGTAACAAAGCAAGTATAATTTCCTTGTCATTGCACCATGCTTGTTAAATTTCAATGCAGCACCTTCAGAACTTGTCCTAATGGTGTCTCCTGTCAGCACCCACTGTCTGTTTTTGTGACCGTTTCGTGTCACAGGAAGATTCTTCTTCTGTTGCCTTATTTATTTTTTGAATTGAAGTCTCTTCTCCGTCTTTGTACTGGAACCAAAATCACAAGGAACACAGACCAACCGTGTAAGAGCTAATCCGTGACACTATGCAGTACTGTTTGAAGTCCTATCTGTTGTCCACCCTCTGTCTCTTTATGTTAACTGGATTTCCCCATTAAACGACTGGCCCCTTGTTAATCTGGGTGTGCTTTCCTGCCTTCCAGCTGTGGCGATAGGTTTTCCAGCCGCACAGACAGATGAGAACCTTGTTTTCATAAGACAATAATGAAGCCTTACTGATTGCTCCATCTCGATTAGGTTGGTTGTTATTATTTGTCTTTTGTATGTAGCAACCACACACTTGCTATGCAAAAAAAGTGTCATTTAAAAAAATTTAAAAAAAATGTCACCATAGTATTTTAAATTCGCCACTGCCCTCTCTCCCTTTTCCTTTACCATCTGCCTGACACTTAGCCAGTAATAAGGATTCAAGGTCTCCGACTTTCTCCCCAGACAACTAGGTTTCAACCTTGGCTGCCCATCAGAATCATCCACACCTGCTTGCTCCAACCATATGAAACTGGACCCCACCCCAGACCAGCTGACCCAGAATATCTGCAGCTGGGTCTGAGCTTGAGCATTTGGAAAAAACGTCCCAGAGGATCCTGCCTTTTGCTGCTGGGATAGAGGGCCACTGTTCTGGGCTGAAGATGCAGCCGGTGCCTTAGCAGCTAACAGATATTTAGCTCTTACTACGGGCCAGTACCTGGAGTACGTTTTTTCCAGGTATGGTTTCAGACTCAGAATGCTTGCTTCCTTTTCCTAGGTGAGGATACAGTACAGCAGTTTAAGTCTTCCGCTGGGTTTCCTTATTTTAAATGGAAGGGTGGGAACTAGCTCACTTCTAAGTTTTTTCTCTTAACTCCAACATGATCCTCTACTCTATGCACACTGTGGGATAAAAATGCTCTTTAAAGTAGAGGAAGATGCCAACTCATTTGGTACTCATAAAAGGATAATGGTGACCTACCCTCCTCCCCTGCCCCGTGAAGCCTGCCTTCCGAGTGGCAGGGGTCATACAATGTGACACACGCCTTTCGGAAGGGGTTATGTGATCCCAGAGACCACTCGCACTCCTGCCTGGGCCGGTGGCATTACACCTGTGTGTACACTCCTGGCAGTCTCTCGGGCCTGTTTTATAAAACCGTCCGTCCCTCTGGGTAAGATCAGAGATATATAGAAAGGGGCAATTATTTTTATTTATTACTTATGTGGGAAAATCTCAAAGCAGGAGAGCTGTTTCTTTGAAGTCTTCTTTAAAGATCCCCGTAGAAGATGTCGAGACTCCTGAACATTTATATTCCAACCACCAAAGCGGTGTCTGAGTATCTGACTTTTGAAGTTTCTGAAAAGCTTCCTAGGGGTTTGCAGTGAGAACGGAAAAAAGCCTCAGACTGACAGAAGGTTGAAGGGTTCACGCACCAGAAAAATTTGCCCAGAAGGGCGAAAAGTTCAGTTGGGAATCAAACGTGTTCTGGCAAGAACAAAGCCTCGCTGCCTTCCAGCCAAAGTGAGCTCAGAGCAGGAACTGGGTGCCCAAGGTTCCCCGCCGTCTATTTACCACCAGGGAAGGGCGATCCAATGTTGCCAAAATTGAGCGCTTAGGCCCCCCCCCCCCGTCCTTCGGTTTCTCTGGTTTTTAAAAAATGTATTTTAAAAAATTTCCTTGGGCTTCTCTTAAGGTTATTTCCTTAATTGGCTTGTGAATGAAGTGATTGGAACGGCTGCACCACTCCTATGTGGGGCAGAATAATTTACTGAGACAATTTGTTTTTTCTCTTCTTGTTCTCTCTGTCCCACCTCTAGCTGCATGCCTGTAGCCAGAGACTAGAGAGAGAAAATGAGGAGAGAAAATTTATAGCCAGCTAGTAAATTGCAACATCTTATCTTCCTTAAACTGAGGACAGGTGGAGAGCAAACGGTGTGTACCTTTCCTCTCTAACCAGCGAGTAAATAGCTTAATTACCTTGGTCAGGGAGGTAGAAAAGAGGCCCAATTAGTGCCATTTGTACCAGGCAAACCCAAAAACTGGGGAAGTCAGCGAAATAATCAACAACAACAATAAAAACAATCATAACCTAACAAATCCAAGTAGAGGCGAAGCTGACCAGAACATGAGACTGGTCCCTATATGCACTCATTTGCTACATCCACATGTTATTAAAAACACACCTAGAAAACTGATGAATACTCCGCAGACACCCTCCCCTGGGACCTCCCCTGGGGTTCCTGACCGCAAAGGAGACAAGAAGCTTTCGGGACAGTGCAGGCGGTCTCTGGAGCTTGCCCACACCTTCTCTGTCTCTGCATGAACTTTCTCCTAAACTAAGGGTCCCCCCCGCCCCCGAGGCTTGCCACCAGGGAAGCAGCACGCAGTGAGTGGCAGCTAGTCTTGGGGCGTAGCCCCTGAACGCGTCTCCAAGGCCCCCTCTCCTCTGACGTTTTTAGGCAGCCAAAGCAGCCCCACCCAGGATCTCTCCTGCTGCTTTTTCTATCCTAAGCCCTTCCTTTGTTTCACTGTCCACAATTTTAATAAATGTACCCTCAAAATCACCTGGACTCATGTGACATCTTTCCTGCACAAAGTCAAGAACCCATACACTACAGGCCTGCCCAGGGCAGACCCGCTTCAGGCCCGGTCCCATTCATTCCGGTGACATCAAGACCTCGGGGGATGGCTGTATGGGGCATCCAGGAACCCTGGGGCTTTTGGTACAGTAGCTCTCAAGTTCCAACCTGACGGAGTAGCAGACCAGCGGGCTGGGAGGGACCAGGCCTTGGAATACAGAGTTTCTCAGTGACAGCCAGTCTGACCCTTGGGAAGCCCAGGGACATCCGCACACCTGTGTCTGTGCTCTGAATAGTAATCGAGGGCAAATGCCCCCAGTCCTACAAGACAGAGCTATGAATAGAAAGTGAATTTGCAGAACAGCTGGGATTGTAAACTAAAAATCATGTCCATCTGCCATATATCAACAGCATTTACAAAAAAAAGAGAACTTTACAATAGGCTCCACAGGCCCATGATTGTAACAATGTGGTTTTTGTTTTGTTTGCCGTGTTAGAACTATTGCCTCCCCTGCTAGGCAGTCCCTACCCTCCTTTGGAGCACTGCGGAGCCTTGGTAGTCGAGTCCCAGATGTGGGAAACTTCCATACAATACCATTTCTCTGTCTTTCAACAAATATTTACTGAATGCCTACTATGTGCCCCGCACTATTCTAGGCACTTGGGATACAACATCAGAGAGGCAAAACAAAGCAGAGTTCGTGCCCTTGTGAAGCTTATTCTAATAAAATGCACTAAAGCACAAGTAAAAAATTAGACACTCTTTCAAGCTCTTAATGTTTTCATAAATCCAGGATTAAAGTAATTTGATATAGCTATTAAAATATGTTTCACTTGAATCATACTGGCTGTACATTTTACTTCATATCGTTTTGATTTCAATTTATCCCCAGCAACATAAAAAGTACATTAACTTTTAGTTGTTGCTGTTGCCTTTGAGAGACTTCCCATTTGAAACTTAAATCCAAGAATGACAACGGTACACTGCACAGGTAAGCCTCACTTGTCGAGCTAAAGATGAAGAGAAACCTAGGATTCTGAAGACTCAGGAGGCCACAAGGTCAAAGATCAATGACCCAATGGAAGGCGGTGCATGTGGGATGCTGATGCTGCCCAGTTACTGCCCCTCACTGCCCCTCACTGCCCCTCACTGCCCCTCACTGCCCCCAGGGCTTTGCTCAGGCTGTCTCCTCTGCGGGGGCCCTCCCCTCCTCCGCCTGGCTCATGCTGACTTTCCTTTGTGACTGGGCTACAACACAACCCTCCTGGAAGCCTGCCTTGATCATGCCACACAGTTTTAACCCCTCTCCTGACCAGTTACCCTGCACCCTAATCACCTGTTCACCCCTAACTGGATCAAAGAGCCTCGTAAGGTGGAAACTGTTGTTTTCATTCATTGTCCCCAGTGCTTGGCCCTGAAAAACAGTGGGTGCTCATAACACTGTGGGACAAATAGGTGAATTCAGAGTCACAAAGATAAATTCAAGTTCCTTGGACAGAACGCACTCCGTGAGCACCAATTTTAGGGAGCTCGTAAAAAAATATACAGTAGTAAAATAGGCTAAATGGAATGTGAATATGGCTTGGTAAGCAAGTAAGCCTCGTTAGAATAATTAAAGGGGCTATGAACCCAAACTAAACCAGATCTCACTTGAAATGTGCTATGAACTGAGCACTATGGAGAATTTATTCGACGGCTTGAATAGCATTAAGTTAGTAACCCCAGTGTGGGTTTATACCTCAACTGAAAGCTTTCCAGTTTATGTTCAAGTATGTTTTAAATCTCTAACTGAAATTCTGAAAGGACTGCTTCAAAAATGATTTCCTTTAAATGGAAATAGCTGTACTGACCAAGAACTTATTAAAACTGAATTATTTGAATTTCTCCAGCCCTGTCCTTTGACCAGAAAGAGAGGAAGTTCTTGCTGCAGGGAAATAACCAAGGCTTAAAGATGCTCAGGGTGCTCCATTGCATCGTGGGAACTTGGCTAGCCAATATATTTCCTCTCCATAGTCAACTGTTCTAAAACCTGTTAGATTATGCCTTATTGAAGCTTCCATGGAGGAAAACAAATTGGTTGGCTACCAAATAACATAATTTTCTGTTTTTATTGCCTATTTTTTTTTCAATCAGCATCTAAGTATTGTGAAATACTTCCTGCTGTGGGTAAGGACTCAGGCTGCTCGTGGGTCTCCCTCAGGCCCTCTCCTGGGGTCTCTCTGCCAACAGGAACTGAGAGGAGACTGAGGGGCTGGAGTGGAGAGAGCAGGGGCAGCGGAGCAGGCAAGATGGACAGCGAACTTGCTGACGGCCGTGAGAAAGCGGGGTTTTGTTCTGGCGATGGGAAGCAGTGAAAGTGTCTAGGGAAGAAAGTCTTCAGAGACGAAAGAACGGCCATGTGGCCTGATTTCTACTTTAAGAATGTCAGGGTTGGACCAATAGAGAATGGACTGGAAGGAGCCAAGAGAGGAGGCAAGGAAACCAGTTAGAGAGAGGGTGTTACAGGAATCCAGGAAACACAGCTGTGACCTGGACAAGAAGGGGGAGAGGAAGCTGGAGAGAAATCGGT